CTCAAATTATAGTAAGTCATACAAAATCTACAGTTTTAATTAGAAGCGTTATTTTTATATACTAAATATTCTAACAATATAATTTTTCTAATTCATTTTATTTTATTTTTTTCTTATGTTGTAAAGAAAGAAATTAAATATCTCGACAAATAGTTATGAAATAAAATAGTGGTAAGTGAAATAAAATAATAATAACAAAAGATTCGTTTATGTTTTTTATTGTTCAATTTTCAAAACATAATCTAAATCATCATCACTTCTTTATTTTTCTCACGATCTCATCTAATGTGTTTTAACATTCTTTTGCATATTTTAATTGATAATAGAGTCGATTGTCTCGCCTGTGATATAAATCACATCAAATTCTTTGTCTCTCTATCTTGATAACAGCTACTATAAACTATAATCTCTTATAACCACAGGACACTAACAATACAGCCTTGGCTGTATGTTATTTTTTTATTATAATGATATCTCTTTTGCCTAGTTTTTCTACATACAATATAATTAATTTATGCAAATTGAATGTACGTGTATATGGTATAGAGAGTGATTTAGATCATTTACAAAATGTTTGAGATTAAATATAAGACAATAGAGAGAAAAAAAGAGAGAGAGAGACATATATCTCATTTACGAGAAATTAGAGAACAAAAGTATCATTGTCATTGTTTAGACAAAAAGTTTGAAAATTAAATACTTTAGTTAAAAATACTCTCAAGTGACATTGCTGTTTGTATGAACAAAGATTTGGAGAATATATTTTGTATTCTGCCCCAAGTGTACCAAAAATGACATTCTGTTCACTGACAATAGTGACATTTTTTTTTCTTTTTTTGTTAAAAGTAATGACATTTCTAATTTTTTGTCCACAAAAAGTTTTTGATTAATCTTTTTTTGTTGTTACTGATCGAAAAAGAAAAATTAATGAATACTAATCAGCCTATCAACATAGACGTATCCTATTATTATAATGCGAAAGAGGAGGGAATGTTGTATAAGTTGACCTCTGATAAAAAGTTTTTTTTTCTTTTTTTCTACTTTTCTAACAGTAGGAGTTATTCCCTAGAGAAAGTTTGAGTTGTACAATGAAGTACAATAAAAATTTGATTTTTTTTTTAATATAAAATTGGTTATGAAGTCGATTTTATCGAGATCAACTACTTATTCTCTTATAGTCGTATATTTATTTTATCTCTTTTAAGATTTAAACTCTTATATTTGAAATTTCTCTACAATAGAAAGAAAATATAATGAAAATGAGAACACATTTTGATTATTGAAACAAAGGGAATATTTTGCTTGATGTTTGAAAAAAGATTGTAAGAATGAGAATTTTGTTAAAAAATGATTATGAGTTCTGTATATTCTGTTGAGAGATTTTTTTATGCTTTTATTTCAAGTATCATTTCAATCACAACGTTCAATTTATTGTCAAAGAAAAAAAAAACTCTGAGTAAATGGAAAATATTATTTTTTTTTCTTCTTCTTCTTTCTGCCAAATATCTCAATGAGCATTTTAAGATTGATGACAAATAATGTATTTGATATGTGATGAAATCTCTTTTGTGTGTATGCGTGTGTTCAATAGGACAGCTGTGGTGTAATACGTACTATATAATCTATCTGCAAATGATTTTCCGAACGAATAAGGAAAAGAAAGAAGAAGAAGAAAAAAAAAGAACCAGTTATTTTTTCTTCGTTTTTTTTTTTTTTTATGCAATATGAACATTATTACTACTATTTGAAAGTCTGATGATTACGTCTAATAGTTCAGACATAGTATATAATAAAGAAAAATTTATATTCACATTACGTAATAAAAAAAAGAAAAAAACTGTTAGGCTTTCTGACATAGATTCGTTTGAGCTTATTCAATCACAATAAATCGAAAAAGATATAGATGAGATATTGTTTTTCTTTTCTTCTCTAATTATAGAAACAACAATATGGTTGTGTCTATTTGTTGTTCATTATTTTGTAATATTTTTCTCTCTTTATTCGAAACATCTTACACTTTTAACTAAAAACTCAAGACAATGTGTTTATCTGTTTATTTTTAGACACTTGTTCACGGTGTGGCAACATGTTTTATAAAACACCCTTTCCATCATTATTCTCCTATTTATTACTCATGATAGGCTCTGCCATATTTACAATGGCAACAGTTTATAGTATGCATAAAATGGGACAAAGTGACAAATGGGGATGTAAAAAATGGTAAAAATATGATGAAAATTATTTTTCTAAAAATTTTCTATAGTTTTTTTTTTTTTGTTTGTCTTTTACAGTTTACTCTATGGACGAATCGTTGTCGGATGTAGTGTGGCATTTACATGTCTATTAGGTTTATTTACTGTTCTATTAGCTACAATGCTAAGTGGAAAAACGCGTAAAAAATATTTTTGGGGTCATAAGAAAAATGTTTGCGCTACAATATTAAATGGTTTTGTAAGTAAAACTTTCTTCATTTCATAGATATATTTTTTTGATGATATATTATGATTCTAAAATGACGGAAAAAATAAAAATTTTCTATTGTAAAAAATAATTTTTATTTATTATTTTTTATTTATTTTAGTTTTTATTCATTACATTTTTAACAACACTTGGTTGGTTATCAATAACTTGTGTAACAATCATTCCATTGTATGCTTTACTTTATAATGATTTTATTGTCTGTCGAAAAGAAGCAAAATCAACTAATTTTTTACATCGTAGGTATTTGCAAAATTTATATCATATACTAATTGAATAAAATGAATTATTATTCATTTTAGTATTGAATGAAATTAGTCATGAACTTCATCAAAATGATAAACATAAATCGTTCACAATTTTCGATCTTTGTACTCCGGTAAATATATTAATATACATATATTATATTGAAGATGTATCTTCAATTTAAACTCATTCGTTAATGGATAGTATTGATAAAAAAAATCAGATGATTTTTTTAGACAGATCTATAAAACTAAATAATTAATAGAAATTTTATTTGAATAAAGCTATATTATTTAAATTCATCATTGAAAATCTTTTTTCTCTTAAACATCTAATTATCTACTCTAATATACACTCACATTTTGATTCGTACTTAGAAAATTTGTCTATTCTACCTCGCAGATTGACTATGACTAAAATTCACAAGATCAATTTTTAGACATAGAATCAGATGAATGGATGTATTGTAATTCATTTTGTGTTTTATGTTATCCTTGATAATAAAAAATTATTTAAAAATATTAATAATTTTATTTTTTTGTAGCCTTATCGAGATTATTTGATTTTGGCACTAGTAACAACAATTTCATGCTTTATCATTGTTATAAGTTTTGTAAGTATAAAAACTTTATTAGATTTTTTGTCAATATCCTTTATAATTTGTTGTTGTTTTTCGTTATATCTAGATATTTTTAATGATTAGTATGGGAGCAAATCATGCGCATATAATTAATGATCAAGTTCGATACGAAGTTACTCAAAACGGAGAAGATATTGAGGAAACAAAAATGTAAACTCTTCTTCTTCTTTTTTTTTTATTATGTTTTTTCGAATTGTTGAATATATATATATATCTATATATAAAGTAAAGAAGTGTTGATGATCAAAACCAGAAACAGTCTTATTTTCTGTTTTTTGTAAAATACCATTTTTTTGTCATTTACATAATTTTTTATTTACATATTTTAAACGTTTTCTATCCTCTTTATTTGTCTAATTATTGTGTATTGTGTTTCTGCTTTTTACCAGCAGCTTTTATTCATTCGACAAAGTCGAACTTCATGAGCTCTGTATGTAGATACATTTTAGCTAGCATTGATTATATGTTATGTCAGATGGTTTTATTCATGTCGTATAACATAGTTTAAACTAAGACTCAGGATAATAATAATAAGTAGAAGAAAATCTAGTCGTTATCCCCTCTCTCGGCTAAGATATGTGCATGAAAGTGGAATAATTCACGAATTTTGGTTTCATTTTAAACAGTATGTTTTTTTATTTGTACTTTGTTGTTTTTACTATTGTAATTCTTTTTTTTTCATATAAAATGAACAGAGAAGAATTTGAGCACATATTAGCCAATTAAGTTTTGTTAATTAGTTTACAAATTTCAATACGTTTGCCTCCTTATGACCATCACTTGGTACCAGAACTAAAGGATAAGTTTCGATGACTTGTATAATCGAAAAAGAGAATAATTCTTAGTTTTTTCAAAAGAATTAGCAAAACAAAAGGGTAAATGGTTTGTTGATAAATGGTTACATTAACTGGCAATGTTAGATGCTAGTTGTTTTTTTAATACTTTATCTGTTCCAAAATGGCAGTTAACAGCCGAGATATATTTAGCCAAAACAGGCAGTTAACCGCTGATGTGAATTCTAGTTTCAAGTATAAATAGTTAAATGCTTGTTTTTAGGTCATGATTCACGGGGAAATAAAGAGCAAAAAAAACAGTGACTGTGTTTTGACAGTTTCAACTGATTAAAAGCCAATTTTTAGTCATACAATAAAAGGCTTATGTATGAGTTATTAAATATCAATTTTCGTTGATCTGAGGATGTTGTTCGTTGATGACTCATAAAAAAGAGAGTAATAGATCATCTGCTGTCAAATCTTGAAGAACAGATAAAAATATTTCAAAAATCAAATGTTTGCAGAGCTCACAGACCGTTGCGATAAGACAGAGGGGTTTCATCTTCCATATACGGTAGTAGAAGCCAGATGCTGCACATGACGGGAAGGTGAAAGATTTGTATCTCGTCTAGCTGACATACGCGGTATCAGTTGATTTGTCGCCCATCTTGTTCTGGGAATATGCATCCGTCGAAGATCCTTAGACGAAGAATTTCGATAATAGAATGCTGCTATGGGTGCTAGACAATACAAAGACTGCATCGTTGATCGATATAATGGAAAAGCGGCGTGATGACATGTTAGAGGGTTCACATCGTACGTTCAAGAATAGTATAATTATAATAATCAACACGATCAACTAGTTATCTTAATTGTTTTGGTCTCGGGCTTGGATGAAATGCCGCTCGTGATAATGCTTTGAAGCTTCCAGCATGATCAAACAACAAAATAATTCCACGCGTTTTTTTGTGAGAATCTATAATTATATTAATTACTGTTCGACTTCGTTTATAATATAATTTCTCACCTTCATCAGTATTGATTCCATCGATCACTGGTGAATAATTATAATGAACACTATAATGGGCCATTTATTAATTCTTCCACAGATAAATAATGTAGTGGCATTTCAACATAACAAGTTGGATATTCGCAAAGATCTGTAAACAAAAAAGTAGTTATATTATCTGTAATATTTTTAGTGTTATTTCCAAGATGTTCTTACCCGGATCAATATTCACCAGTATGATTTCTCTTTTTCCTTGGTCTTTCAATATTTTGTCAGCTGTTTGAACTGAACGAAACGGTGGTGAAGAATAACAATAATCAACGATTAAACACGTTTTTAACAGTTTTTTTCCCAACACACAGTGGGCATCGCCCAGGTCGAACCCACACGGCAGTAAACTACAGTTTACGTCAAAATACGACGAAAGGAACCGTAGAGAAAGATTATGACTGTTTAAACTGTGATTTATGGTGAAACGACACAATACGATGACAGTATTACGATCGTCGTAATACTTCTCCATGAAACACGTCAGATTACAACGAAATACTATCGTAAACGTCAAAATACGACGTCGTAATTTGATGTATTACGACCGTCGTTTACGATCGTTGTGATCATCGTCCTGGATCCAGGTAGACATTTAGCGAAAAACCGAAAATGCATTTTTTCGAAATTCATATAGTTGTAAATATACTTCGATTGACGGGTTATTTCATGGTATCAAAATTTTCGTTCTAAATGCGCTAATTTTTGGAAAAAATGTATCAACAAAAACATATGCTAAAACCTAACGACCTCTGGATAAAACATTTTTTCTAACAGATTAAGTCGTTTTAAATTCAGATACTATACATATTATAAATTTAGACATTGTTAGCTATCGATCTTTAAAATCGTAGTTTTCCTAATCATCTGACATACTAGAAAAATATTATTTTTCCGAACTAACTCTGTCTTCGAAAAGGCACTTCGAATACAATCAGTTTCGACAAAATTTTTGACTCAAAATTAAACCCTTGGCTTTTAAAGTAAAATTCAGTTTTCTCAGTCCAGGACTGCTTTTATTGAAAAATAAGGTGATATTCGATATCGGCTCAACGAGCTATATCGAACCATCTATAAGGCAATATGTTTTGATTCGAAAAAATATCGATAATTTATAGTGTAGGTAAATTGTCGATAAATACATACAATTTTTTTGTTTCCCCATCTTATTTTCATTGAAATGTTCAACCAGAATGAAACACCTGTTCTTTCATTCTGCATACCAGATTTTATTTATGTATGACAATTCTTTCAGTACTGTAATAAACTATCAGTCAATCAATCGATCGATCGATTTGGTGACAACTTTACGATTTAGGTCACTTTTGTCTGTGGTATCATGAATGATCTCATTCATCTTAAGAGATTGAATATCTGAGTCTTTTCATTCTTCGTAAATTTTAAAAAGAAGAAAGTGAGGACAGTCTAAATACGAGGCTGTTCTAACAGTCCCCAGCCGACTCTCCTCGGCTGTTTGTGCTCTCGAATGTACTGAGTAATGTCGAAAAGGAAAATGTCGAAAGGAAAAATGTCGAAAGCGAAATGTCGAAAGTAAAAATGTCGAAAACCAAAAATGTCGAAAGTAAAAATGTCGAAAACCAAAAATGCCGAAAGTAAAAATGTCGAAAAGTTCGAAGGCGGCAAGGGTAAAATCTTAGTAGAGCTGTTGTTGTAAAAATGGTCGAATGAAAATTGACCGACCTGACAAATAATCAAAGAGCATGAGGCGCAACTTTTAATCATAATAATTACATGTACAATAAAACAATTTCCCATAGAACATAAAAGAAC